TGGCCCAAATGGGTTGTCCAACCCTATTAATTGGATTAGTTAATATGCAACATCCTTCCTCGAAGCAAATTGTTAGGAAGACAAACAAGAAAAAAGAAGCCCAACACGTAATGTATTTTTTTTTTTTTTTTGGTTGCCTGTTGCCACGGTATTCAAGATTTTGCCCTGAATAATCCGTTGATCGACTCGGATCGCACATCTGGCTGTGATGAATGAGTCTCCCAACAAGAGCGGCTGCGTACGTCAGGCTTCAAACCCGAGTACGCCAGTCTCCCAACAAGGGTGAGTCTCCCAGGTTTCGAACACGTAATGTATTGGTTAACCGATTCTTCAATACTTATCGGAAACCAACCAATAAATAGATAAATTCTGGCCACCTGCGATGGTCACAACACAAAAAAGTGAGGGAGGATGATGCGATTGGAGTGCAGATGCGGTTCCATATTTATCTAAGAATTAATGAGGAAACTCCAAAATGCAACCGGAACGAAGTTGATGGCAACTGGAAACGAAAATGTACAGCAGAATACTGCTACCAAAAAACATGGGCAGATATCATATCGGCGGATATGGATTGACGTATTATTTATTATCTTTAGAGCCTTCTCGCTGACGGTGGGTGACAATTAAGCGATCATTAAGCAGAAATCTATTAAGTGATCATTAACCAATTATACTAATAGAAATCTATTGTCGTTGTTTACGACACTTACTTGCATGGGTTTTTCAAAACTGTGACTTTTATAGCGACAAATAGTCTGCAGAAGCAGCGAATATGGATGAGTTTGAGAGCTGCCAACTATTATATATTTCTACAACAAAACTTGGGTTTGGCAAATTGTAACAGACTAAACTTGGTGGTGAAAGCTATTTTCCTTCATTGACTGGGTCGAATTTCTTTCTTTCTTTCTTTCTTTTTCCTTGGCTTTATTATACAAATGAATGGTGGTGGTTGACCTATTGATGCTCACTTCTAATTTCTATTGTGTTGCTTATTTATTTTTCGTATTGGTTCGCCTGTTTTCTGTATATATAGTAGACTGCTGTTATGGCTGATGATGCGGAATCTGTGTCCAGAATTTAGGATCTTTTCTTGTGGCAGTAAGTTAGTAAGTAACACTCCCTTTGACCAATAACTCAACAAATTCAATAGCAACGCGATGCTCTCCGGGTTTGGATTTGGAACAATTGTAGCCTGTACAAGTTTCTTGAGCAGAGGCACTACTGAAATCTGTAGAGGGTTTTCCAGAATAAGAGTTATTAATACTTAAATTATTTCAAAAGTTTAAATGATGTGACAAGATATACATAGATTTGAATCATGGATACTGTACTCAAAATTGACTTTAGTATCTTTCTTTAATTAGTTCCCAACAATTAGTAACTACTTACTAACGTGTTGCAAGTAATGAGTTTAGATGATTTTTTTTTTTTTTGATAACTCAGAACATGCACCAACTCGAATTCTTAGGATTCAAACCGGTACACCAAATCGAAGGAGTGCGCCACGGCCCCACACAGCGATCCTGAGCGAGGCACGAGGGTTCAAATCTAGGATAAGATTCGAACTCATGATCACAAGAGTTTTTAAAAGTCCGTTTACCGCTGGATCACCCTGTGAGGGCCGTTTAGATGATTGTTGATATGGGTACATAGTAATTAGTGAATGATATACATACAGTTCTCCCCATCTATTCATCTTTAATTTAAAAAAACAAACGAACAAACAAACAAACGCTAAAACAGTCCCGCATTCCCATTGGGAACCGCCAAATTATAATTAAACATGCGGAGACTGGGTGTTTTGATTTAGACAAACAGAGGCACTACGTCTTCTTCCTGACAGAAAATTTTATCGAGCTCTTTTGCTTTTGTGTGTGTCTTTGGAATATAAAATGAATATACAAAATAGAAGAGGTGGACTCGCAATAAATTTTAAATATTGTCATTCACTTTTCTAAATTGAGGATCCTTTAGTAAAATAAAAAAATTTCGAACTTAATTTTACAGATAATTAGATATCAAACTCACCTCTTATCTTGTTGTAAACCCTTTTTTATCAAATGCCATTTTGGAGTACGAGTGTGTTTTGGAAGATTGCTTGAGGTATATGGCTTATCTTTTTTACAAGATAAACATGTCTTATCTTGTGGACTAAACAAAAAAAAATGTCTTATCTCGTTTTTATTTGGATTCAGGTATAATTAAATTATCTTGCTTAAAGTGATATGCATAATTTCAATTGAAAATAACAGTAGTTATTCTAAGATGATGGTGGATATGGAATGAAAACCTTTTTTTTTTTTTTTTTTACAGTCGTTAACGGTCTATTCTACACCTACTCCTACTCTTATTCTAACATATTCTAGGAGGAACTCAACTGGATCTGTGGAGAGGGGCCGACGGAAATTGAACCACCATCAGATCAAACGGATGTACAAAACACTCGTTTGGATTTGAATAGCCACTATTGTGGCATTTTGCCTCCCATCCCACCAAGCCTTAAAGGTTTGATGGTGGCCACCGGCACAAAGGCTGGTGGTTACATTGGACAAGGCTCTTTCTTTTCCATCTAATTCGTTGCATATCCTTTTTTTTTTCAAGTCTAAAGGGAAAGACTATTCATCGTCAAAGTACTGAAACAACAAACCAACAAAACTAGAGGATTAGCGTGGCATGTAAAGTAAGACGAGAGCGGAGTGGGAAATCTTATATTCTCATCCTTTTCTTAGCTAAACACGAAGATGATATTCGGTGAGAAAGGGTCAAAAGAGCTGTTATGTTACTAGAATCATTTGCGCAAAGCCAACAAGAGGAAAGGAGAAACACTATGGTTATAGGTCACGTTTGGGCCTGTCGCTAGAATACCAGCAATTATTGACCAATATCTAATATTCCTTCTTGTATCCTAGATAGAAACACTTTTGCTCTATCTTGCTTTCTTTTTTGTTTCATTTTTGGATAAAACCTTTACACAGATAATAGATCGACTGTAATGACAATTAATAAAATGAAACAAGCAAGTCGAAAGTTCAATTCAACCTTAACCTAATTAACTGTATATATGCTCGAAAAAAGAAGAATAAAGAACACTGTAGAGGCAGATGGCTTGGCGTAAAACCATTCGTTTTAACTTCCCTCTATCCACCAGAATACAACGAGGACTACGACCTTGCCCAAATCCTTGGTATTTTGTCTTAGCTCCTTAATCCTTACTTACTGGCATCTCTCCAAAACAACAGTAGTAAGTTCAAGGAAAAAACAAATCACGCAACTTATCCGGGTGAATGTTCTTCTGGCTTGACGTGAAATTTCTTTCTTGTATAAATTTTCTCTCAAAATATATAATAGATTATCCTTAAAATCCCTGGGAACAGGAATGTTTGAAAACCAATTACTCGCAGTTGTATGATATACATACAGTGCATCTCTTCCACTCAAGACGTTGCTATTGATACAATAAAGCGACATTCAACTGATAGCAAAAGAAGAAAACTGCCGACCACATGACTTCAGGAAGCTGATGTGATAGAGTGCATGTTTGTCCTCCACATATACATATTATAGGGCTGCGTGTCAGATTAAAAATGAAAAATATGCAATTTAATTCATTTTTTAGAAAAAAAAAAAAAGTTCGAGACATGGGTTTTGAGGCTTGACATATTTTTAATGTTCTTCTAGCTAGTGCTTGTCTTATTTTTTGTTGAGAATCGACATAACTAGTCTTGACGAAGCAAAGATATTATTGCATATATCCGGATGATAAACGTTACTTCGATAAGCAAACAACTATAATTAAAACAAAAAAATAAAATACAAAAGAGTTAGAGCTGGTGCATAAGTAAATGCATAAATGTAATGTTTGATATAGAGGAATTAACCTGAAGAGCTGACGATTTCATGGCAGACCAAGGATAAAATATTCATCCTGTGAGACGGAAGATTTCTTTCCAATGACTCTTTAACAGATGCAGATTCCTAGCTTCACGGACGAAAACTAGTTGGCCGTAAAACTTATATACGGGATAATCTTGGGTCGTTTATTAATTACAAGAATATAAATTCTGATCTTTAAACATAAAGTAGAGGATCTCCCTTCCTGCAATTCTCTATAGGGAAAAAAGAAGGAAATCTCACAGTGAGATTGGTGAAGAGTATGGCATATTATTGGTCACTGTATATTCCAAATTTGGAATACTCTGAAACCCCCTTCCCCTTCATGATCCAAAAGGCCAAAAAAAAAAAAAAAGAAAAGAGAGGAGATTTTGGAGAATACAGACGCTTGTCTCATTCAGGGAACTTTCTGTAAAGCTACATGTTAATTACTATAGCAAGAATAAGATGTACCTCGTGTTCACCTTTTCCAGATCGTAAGAAGTATCAAAGGGAAATTTCTAACCAAAGTTTTGTCCTTCGTTATCCGGGATGCGAGTAAAATCTCCAACATCTATCTAAAATTCCGTTGATCTATTCAAAATACGAAAGGAAACAAAAAATATCTTCAAAACTTATCTCAAATCTTCGTTAATGAATAAAATATACAAGTTAAGAGTACAAGATCAACACTGTTTGGTTATCTTCCTTGAGAAATGGCCAAGGAGGAGGAAGAAGATGGGTGAATTAGAAATTGTGTTGTGATCAACCTTGTCCCATGTTAGATCTCAACAATGTTCCTGAGATGATATATAAATACCGCCAGTCCCCTGTATCCTCACCTTGTCTTATGAATAAAAAGCCTCCTTTAAGGTTGCCTCCTCAACTAGCCAGCACTATTGGCTCCTCTAATAATGACCGAATCTCAAATCTTCCAACCTTCTTGGCCGTATTTTCGTCATGACAACAACTTGAATTCAATTCTGGATAATGTTAGAGAAGATAGATTTTGCGGGGGTGGTGAATATACCTGCTATCCGCTCCCAACATTAATGGAGGAGAGCTATCTTGAAACGAGTATGCTCCAAGAAAGGTGCGCGAATTTTCCGGTTCACCTAGATGGCGACATGGACATCACCACGGAAGATGTCCTGGTCTTTTTCGAGGATCCCATCTCGATTGACGGTCAAATTACCGACGTCTCCATGTCTCCTGAGGAGAGCAAAGGAGGTAATTGTATACACAGTTGTCACCAAATATCCATGCCATCATCATCAATGAGATCAAGCCATGCTGCATCATTGGACGTGACATCCATGCCGTCATCACTGGTCTTGCCCGCAGAAGGCGTGGAGTTGGATAACGAGCTTGCCGCGTTCCATTTACTCATGGCTTACGCGGAAGCCATGGAAATGGGACAAGAGGAGCTCGCGGAAGTGATCGCGAAACGCATCAGCGAGAAAGTTAGTCCAGTTGGAGATACCGTGGAGCGTCTATTGTACTACATGTTCCACGCCCTGGACAAGCAGTCGGACTACCTCAAGCAAGAGTCCGCCAAAAACTTCTATCAGGCTTTCAAAGCATTCTACCAGATATTCCCAAACGGAAAGTTCGCTCATTTTGCGGCCAACTTAGCGATTCTCGAATCCTTGCCCGACGATGCAGATACCATACGCATCTTCGACTTTGACATTGGAGAGGGTATACAGTGGGCTTCCTTGATCGAGGCCATCGGACATCAGTGCCGAGAAGTGACGCTGACGTCGGTGAAATTCGCGGAGGGGGAGGATGCCGCCATGGATGCAAATCCCTTGACCATGTGGAGGTTTGAGGACGCAAAGAAACAGCTTTCGGATTACGCAAGGTCGTATGGCTTAAAACTGATGGTGGACGAGGTGGAATTAGCTGATCTTGTTGGTGAGCTCAAGAATATTAGTAATCGAAAACAGGGATCATCCGGGAGAAGACAATTCTTGGTGTTCAACTGCATGGTTGGACTGCCGCATATGGGCAGGGTAAGGAGCAGAAGGGATGTCTTTGAGTTTTTACAAGCATCTCAGAGCTTCTTGCAATTAGTACATGCCTCTGCTGCTTGTGGCAATTACAAGGGCGGCGTCATTACTTTTGGTGATGGAGATGCCTGGGAGAAAGTCAGAAATACCTCTACTTACGGCTCATTCTTGGACGGAAATATGGCACATTACCAAGCCCTGTTGGAGTCGATAAAACTGAACTTCCCGAGTTATCTTGGGGAGGCAAGAACTGCCATGGAAAACCTATTCGTGGCACCATCTGTTTCTTCTCTTGCATGGGCTGAAAAATGGGAGGAAAGGAAGAGATATGGTCAGCTGGAATTAGGATTTGGGTTGGAGGGTCTGAAGCTGAGCCGAGAGAGTTTGATGGAGGCCAAGGAAGTTGTTAGAGAAGGTGAGAGTCTATATGGGGTGAGGATGCAAGGTGAAAGCCACAATGAGATGGTGATGGACTGGAGGGGGACGCCCATGGTTAGAGTTTCTTGCTGGAGAAGTTGAACAAAATTGGCTAAATTTTGAATGAAAAAAAAAAAAAACACAACTGTAGTGAGTGAGAAAATTAATAGGCAGGAGCAGGGAAAAATATTTGTTGACACATACTGCACAAATGATTTGTTTCCAATTGGTTAGTTACGTTGTATGTGTACATGGAAATCATTCAATTACACAAATGATAAATATAATTTTCATAGACTTCAAATCAATTAATTGCATGCTTCCATAATTGTTCTAAGTTTTGCTAAACCTTTTTGATGATGCATATATCCGTGTAGATTTTATTACGTCTTAACTGATAGATTTGAGCTCTATGGCGATTAAGCTTAAATATATGGAGATCTGTTAGGTCTTCTGCTACTTGATATTCCAGAAGGTGTTAGGGTCTGATCAACTAATCCCGATAATGTTTAAATCTCAAAAAATTGTTAATCTGTACTATAGAGCTAATTATCTCTTCATTGGCACAGTAATTTCGGTTACAATACAAAAGGAAATTGTGATGTTCACCTAGCCAAAAGGATATCTCTTCATTGAATTTGTCTCCATAAGTCAGGTGAAATCCTACCCTTTGAAACAAGATTTCTGAAAATATCTTCCTCATCCCCACTTATCCCTTCACTATCCTTAGTTGTCATCAGGATCAGATGTCAGAGCATCCTGGTCATTCTCGGAAGCTAAAACCTGATAAAAGGCACACAACAACTCAAATAGGTATCCACAAAAACTTAACAAACCAGATGATTCTGTATTCTAGGCACATAATAATTGAAAGCGCGGAAATGTCAAACATTGCAAAATGACTCCAAGAGCAATGGTTCCCGCAGTTCTCAAATCTCACCGGAATGGTGCTAATGATAAGTGGTTATAAGTAAAGGCCTCCATGTTTCTTAGCCGAGATACTGATTAGCACTAGTTAAAGCAAGAGCTAATAGTTCTTGTAAGCCAATACGTATCTTTAAAAAATTGTGATCAAGCACTCAAACTAACCAAACATTTGATAGGTCAACGCCAAACACTTGAACACGATTATATTTATCCCCCTCGCTTACAAAACAGAGAAGCCATGAAGTAACAATAATAAGGTTGTTCTGGGACTTGGTTTCCAAATTCAAGAAACAATAATAATTTAATCTCCAATCAAGGACAAAGTCGTACATTGACAAGGGTCAGAGCCATGAATTTTGACTTGCAGCTCATAACTAAATTAATTCATCTTTTGAGTCTTTATGGTGAATGATCTTCAGTAGCTTCCTCAATAAATATAATTTCAGCCTGCCAATCTGTATCAAGATTCTTGTTTGGATAGCTAACAGTTTCCACTAAAGCAACTGTTATCCATCATGACAGAACCACATGCAATATCCTCCTCTATAGAAGCAAAAGTTTTATTATGCATCTACAAGTTGGCACCGACCGGAGGCACCATCCATTCCTGTCATAGATGATTACTAACATGCTCAACATTAATATACTTCACCAAAACCACAAGACATAAACATGTCAAGAGAAGTCTATATATATATATATATATATATATATATATATTCCTTCACTTTGCTCAAGGTACTTTGCATTTTTAGCAGATATATATCTACCTTGGAGGAGGGGATCCAACTTCATAGTTGTCATATTTCTTTTTCATCTTCGAGAGAGAATTTAATTTCACAAAGTAGAAGATAAAAATAACTGACCTCTAGGTCTGAAAACTCAAACCAAGGGCAGCAGTCCAAGTTTTCACATACAAAGACAACTGTTTCACGCACAAGAAATCCTGCATCTGCTTCCAGCATATCTAACACTTCATAAATTGAAGAACTGAGTTATTCCATGTCTTTGTGCATATAGAGGACTCCATCCACACTGTTTTTGAAGGGTTTTTTTTGGTTTACAATTGCCATTCTGTATCTAAGAGCATTTCCTGACAGAGTCCTGATTGGTGAAATCCCAAATCACTGATGTCTCTTTGAAAATAAGGACTTCAGCAGAGAAGCTAAAAACGTCCTTCTCAAGAAACCCAGAAGCTTGAACAAAGAGCCTCATCAGTGTCATAAATTCACGCCAACCCCAGTCCTTTGCAGCTTTGGAGTACCGATTTTGAGATTCCTTTGTGACAGATTTTTCATCCGACTTTTGGTTGAGAACTGATAATCATTGGCTCGCAAAGCAACTCCAATCATTTTTAGTATTTTGGGAATCTGTAACTTCAAGAAATACCGGGAGGTGGCAGGGTGGCTGAGACTGCCCTGATGCCATGAAACAGAATAGCATCATTACACCATGCAGCAGAGGACAAAACAAAATGTCAAATAGTACGATATAAGTTTGTGTAGGATAACAGGATAATTGTCTTTTAATCAATCACAAGCAGGCCAGGCATCAAACAATGTACAAAGAGAACCCTGGCTTCTAACTAGAAGAACACAATAAACAAAGTGTAGGATGGTGCCATTAGGTATCTCTTTTGCAGGAACACACTGTAGAACCAGCAGTCCAGAGGCTAACCTCCCAAAAACACCAGATGTCAACAAATGAATATAGGCACTTGAGTATGGAAATCCATCAATGAGTTTCTTCTAACACTTGATTAAGTGTAAATACCATCATTCAGTCCCAACAGGAGTGAATGATTTTTCATTGATGTGCTATACGTACTGCAAGGAAATAAACTCCATCCAGTCAAAGGGGTTTTCTACATTGTACTTTTTCTGGGAGCCTAATGAAACCTGTAAAGCAGCAAAATTGAAAAAAATGTAGATCTTTTAGAATCAATATTCTCTTTGCTTTTCAATGTTGAGGGTAAAAGGGAACACAAACAACCAATAGGTGATCGGTAACAAATTTGATATATTGGCTCATTAGTGCGGCATTCATGCCAATTAATGCACAACAAAGGGCATCACATACAAACTCAATCTCTATTTCAACAGCCTCATGGACATTTGATGAACCGTTTGCCACTGAACTTACTTCTGCAACAAACTCTACATACATATCAGAGCTTATCTTGGCGTAGCAGCAGCTTCCTACCCAAAAGAGTCAAATATATGCGTAGAAAATTTACAAAAACAGGGGGTGATCCTGAAACTTTTACCTACTCATGAATCACGTATGCAGTGTTACTCTAAAAGAGTTTTAATTCTTGAACCAATCAAAGACCTAAGAATGACATAAATGATGAGCAACCTGTATAACAGGCAAGCAAAGTCACGGTGAAGACCCTTGTCTCTTGAGATAGGCTCATTTGAGAATGTCAAGCCAGGCATCAACGCCCTCTTCTTAAGCCAGAAGATAGCACAAAAGCTGGGGAACAGAAAAAGGAAAGCCAATCTCAAAATACGCTTTAAAAATTGCCAAATCTAGTTTCCATGAGAAAAAGCACGGGTAGAGAGTTAATTAAAACATTCCTCCCTGAGAAGAATATTCCCTCAACACAAGCAAAAGCTACAAGTCTCTCTGCAAATGAGCATGAACTGCATGAGCAGATAAGCATAATGGGCAGCTATTCAGGCAGAAAGACAAACATCAGTTGTGAACGTACACTATTCCAACATTAAGTTAAACAACCTAGAAGAATCAAAAAGGCAAAAAAAAGACATTAAACCAAGAGAGATGGTGTAGGAGGGACCAGCCGCTTGTGCTCCAGTGCCACCTCTAACTTCAAAATCCAGAGTACTGCAAACCATTCAATCAATAATTGAATACAAAATGGAGATGGAAAGCATAAAGCCCTCTTTGTATCAATACAAAAACGGAAATGTAAAATTCAGTTGGAATGTGGACATGGGTGCTGCTACCTCCCTGCTACAATCAAACAAGATCCAAGGCCTCAGCAATTGTTGGTATAAATTGCACAAGATAATATTATCCAGCAAGCAAATGTCTAAAATGATAAAATTCAGTGGCAAAGTATATATTGTTGATAGTGCCAAAGACAAGATTAATAGAAAGGATCAATAGTTTTTTATGCTTGTGACCAAATAAAGTTTCATCAGAATAGCAGGCCACCAGTACCTAGTGACCTTGCTGGACACTTACAGGACCCTTCAACCATAGACACTAGATCTGATCAATGAAAAGAATTTCATCGCCTCAGGAACCCACGTTTGCCGTACAATGACAGAAACCTCCACCCCATGACCCAAAACTCAGCCCCCAAAAACATAAACAAAGTAACTCGTTTTAATCTTCACCCAAAAGCTTCAAGCTGAAACTCCATAAATGATGATGAATAGCAGCCGACACATAGAATATTACCCACAGACACGTCCAATCATCCCTTGAGTCCAGACAGCAGTTTCTTTGAGCTGTTCATCATCAGACTGTAGACATTCATTTAAAAACTCCATACACAATGCACGATCCTTATACAAAGTCTTGACGTTTGAACCAAGTGCATCTGCTATATCTCCCAAAACTGCTACAGCTGCTTTTGTCACACCTTCATCCCTACAAAACATGCGAAAGCATTAATTAAAAAATCTAAGAGAATACTACAAAAATATAGGGTGAAAAGCATTCTCATATTAATTAAAACATTTTGACCACTTGAGATTTGGCCAAACTATTCTCATATTCAAAGAGTAAAACACAACCCATTGACTTAAAGAATGCAGAACAAAAAGCTCCTTTATAGCAAGTAAGATATTAGCTGAAACCAAACCTCAAAATGAATTTACAACATAAATCGAAAACACCACTTTACACATTATGGAAAAAAAATCAATATGATCACCATCAGCTTTTTACACCTTTATCTCAGACAACGTGCAGGCAGGTGCACAAAACTGCACACAAACATAAAGAGGACACACCTTGCACAGGCAATTCCACACACAAGCAAACAAGCCCATGAAAAATGATGAAAGTGTTAGTAACTCATAATACAAGTATAACACTATTAGTGATTCACCACTAGGCTTAACTCATTCTTGCAAATCTGAATGCACCTTAGCTGCATCTCATAAGGTCTATACGTAACCCTGATGCAATCACATACCTGTGGTGGTCTTTGGCAACAACTTCTATGAATTGCAAGAGATGAGGAGCATGGGGCATTAACAAATCAGACTTGGAGTTCTGAAATCCTTGCAGAATTCCAGAATAAGCTTCAAAGATGCTGCGTCTCAGTTGGTTCCCATAGTCCACCATCTCCTCATCACTATTGTCAATCTGAGCACACACTTCAGCAGCACTTTGCATCATCGGCAAAGCATAATTAATATACTTCTCAAAATTTTCTCCTATTGCTAGAGCAATGTCTCCAAAGCATGAAAAAATGGGTGGCTTCACAGACCGATGTAGTTCACTGCTAGAGAGATCCTTGAGAAGATGCGTCATGATCCCATCACAGTATGGCAAAACCTTATCTTCCAAGGCACGAGAAATGTCACCAACAACACCAACCGAGATGGCACAGACTTGGTATTCCTCAAAATTCTGCAGACCCATCTCCAAATATTTGTAAAACTCTGGCATATACTTTGCAAATTCAGGCCCGGTAGCATAGGCAAGCGCGCCTATAGCAAGCATAGCTTCTTCATGCACCGTAGAGCAACGGCAAGCAAAAACCTTAAGGAACAACATCATGATCTGATCAGCTGCTTGGATAATGATTGGTTTGGTTCCATCATCACTGCTTAGTTTCTGGATAATGACCTGAATAACACCACAGAGAGAAGCTTGAAGATCTCCTTGTCTTTCCCTATCATCTGATGTTATAATCTGAAGCTCTACTGTCTGCCCCAACTTAGTCATAATAACAGGGAGAAGTTGTGCAATGATACCAGATGTTTCAGTAAGGTTAGAGCACCTAACAACCTCATTCAAGGTCTCATAAGCAGAGGACCTGAGTTTGGAGTCACTGCCATCTGTTCTATCAGCAGTCGCAATAAGACAACCAACAAGATCTGGAAGAAAAGGTGTGAGCTGAGAGGAGCTAGGTCCCGCATCTTCGTACCCCTGGGCAAGATAATAAATGGCAGCACAAACCTTCTCAGCTACATGTGGGGCATCCTTTATACTTTGCAACAAAACCACCACAATTCGCTGGAGATTAGAAGGAGTGATTACAGTGAATCCAGTTGCTGGGTTGTGCAGCAATTCGAAAATACGGCTAAGAGTCCATGCAGTTGTATCTTTCACATGGCTATTTACATCATTCATGGCATTAAGCAGAAAATCTAAGCCAGCATTCACCATTGGAGAGAGTTTCTCAATGCTGGGTCCCTCAATAATTGAGCCAAACGCATAGGTAGCCGCCTCACGGGATCGCCACTCTGGCTTCAGGATGTTAGCTTCAACGAAAGGCATCACCAGGGGTACGACAGCATCCCCTACAGTTCTTGCAATAAGACCAAGACATGTCCCACCAGCCATGGCAAGATTCCAAATCCCATCCTCCTGGTCCTGATCCTCATCCTGCTTTAGTAAAGTTTCTAACAACATCGGAACTAGAGTTGGTAGAGCCTTCTCAATGAAGTGTGAGTGTGAAGCAGTAGAGTCCTCACTGTTAGGGGCCTCATACTCTTGTAGCTCTATCTCTTCATCGCAGATAGAGCTCCAGAACTCAACCGCTTGAAGGGCAACAGCCTCCTGATCTCCTTTGACCGCATTTGATGTGAGTTCAAAGATGGTTTGCATGTAGGGATCAAGGACCTCGTAGTATGTTGACGCAATGGATACAAGACATTCATAAGCAGCCTGCCTTATCTCAGCCTCTTTTGCAACCGCTGCTTCACAAATCACCTTCATGATATAGTTCCGCTCCATCTCATTCTCAAAGTTGGTTTGTGCAAAATCAAGGGCATTGTATAAAGCCCTAACTGCAGCAAGTCTTACTGCAGGATTTTGCTCAGTCACATTCATGCCCTGGACAACTGCAGTGAGGATAGAGTTTACTTCATCTTGCACCAGATCACGGTGAGATATCTCCTCACACACATAGCCAAGAGTCTCCAAGGTTGCCTGTTTGAGGGAGGCAGGCCTATGTGGCTGGGTCATGTTGACAAGCAACGAACCAATGAGTTCTGGCCATTCCTTACGAGGAATCTCTATAGAGGCAATCTTAGCAATTACTTGGGCAGCTGTGTGAATTGCATCCTGCACAGAGGACCCAAGAGTGCTCAGAAGCAGGTTTTTTATTTGGGATTTGAAAGAAGAATCAATTGTCAACCACTGCTGCACAAGGTGTTCCTTCCGAGAGGCCTCTTTTGCATCCAATGAGTTCTTAAGCACAATTCCGGCAAGTCTACGAGACTCCATTGGCTTACCCTCATTGGAGAGCTCAACAGACAATGACAAAAGGAAACTCGGCAAGTTCTGGTCTCGGAATTGAGTAAGGTTACTTTCTGCATCGGTTCGAACTTTTGCATCCGCTGATTGAGCAGCCAAAAGGATTTGAGTGATTTCCATGGCCATTGTTCCTGCAAGTCAATAAAAACGCTAATGAGTATATTCAAACAAAGATGCAGCAAACAATGAATGTAGAAACTAAAATACCAGGGTACGCCCCATGAAAAACCAATGACAGTCATAAACAACGAGAATTAATGTATGCTAAGTGAGGAAAATTTGAGATTAAGCACACAGTATAAGGAATAATTTGATGTAGCAATGCTAAGTTTGAGCAATCACAATATGCAGGCAATGCTTCTGTTAATCTGTAACTTAAAAAAGAATACAAAAAATAGTTAGCCTCATGAGGAGCAGCTCCATTCATATGCAAGAATAAAAAAAGTTATCTGGAAAAACAGTTTCATACTCAAAAGGAATTACTTCTAGCACTTCCATTGTGACCAAAACGTAGCAACTTCCCTAATTGCCAAGATAGATCTGGGGAGAAAGCCTCGAGTTTCCTAAAGCAACACTATTGCAAGCCGCCGCCGCGACGAACAAAATACTACTTTTAAAGCAATAATGATAATAATAAGAACAATCAATGAAGGAAAAGAGGCTGAAAGGGGAAAAAAAGGTCCAAATGAACACCCGTCGAAGTGGAAAGGTGAATCAAAGTAGAGATTGAATCTCAATCAATTAGGGATTCCTTTTTTTAAAAAAAAAATGTTAATGCCTATTGTCCCCTCTTCAAATTCAACTAATTTGCCCGCCATTACTTCATCAAGACGCAAAAACAAACTGATAAGTAGCCTATTTCCACCTGAAGGAAGTTTAAGCAACAGTAGCGATAAACCCTAGCGAGACAAAAAAAACAACTAAAAATGAGGAGAAAAAGTAATAAGCAGATTCGATTAAAGATGAAAATACACGCACCCAGACCCCATAGATGAACGGAAATTACCTGAACAAGGAAAACCCACAATAGGAAGATGGATAGATTTGAGTTGCTTAGGGCACCAAAACGAAGCAACCAAAAGGTCGAGAGTAATAAGAGGCCTTTTCTTTCTTTTTCTCTCCCGACGGTCAAGTCTTGAATCGATTCGTTGTTGACATACTCTCTATTATTATTATTTAATTTGAGAGTAAAAGCGGATATTCGATGGGAGATGGAGAGCGGCAGGCGAAACAGAAGAGAGAGAGTGTGGGCGAGAGTTACGTGCAAAAATTTCAAATAGGTGGAAGAAGCGGGAGGAAGGGCAGTTGAATTAAATGGGGGGCCCCAGTAACGAGAGGGAGGAGAGGCAGTTGAATTATGGGATAATTTAAGAAACCCCCCTGACATTTCTAACAATTTCATTAATCTTCCTTAAAATTTATAAAATTACATAAACCTCCCCTGAAAGCTGAAATTAAGGTTTTGATAATAAAATTAAAATACTCCTATACCACTCCTCCACTGGGTTTTGAAGTCTTGCACCACGTGCCAGGTGTTTGAATTAATGAAGATTTTGAGCTGCCTTAAAACGAATTTTCTTCGGCCTAATTGGCTGTGGCTGCGCTTACTTTCATCATCGCAATTCGCAAACGCAAATGAAGAGATTACTGCACTGCTCAACCGGTTACTACTACACTACACTACACTACTATTTTCTGCTGCTGCCGCTCCACTGAGGTCTAGATGTTGCCAGTGCCATGGCCGGTCTACCCTTCACCACCCCACACCCGCATGGCCTGGGTTTCATTCGCCAAGGCAACAAAATATCGAGGCCGCAGCCCTTCCACGACGAATATGACCACGATTGCGTCGCAGTCCTAATAGCTCCGGAAGCTCTCCTTCTGCCGGCACCGCTGCTTGATTTAGGATGCTTCTTGCTCTTCTCATCATCTGAATTAATTAGGTCCTTCTTCAGGCTGGTTGATGATGATGATGCCGCAGCAGCCAATGCTTTGGCGTCCGGCAAAAATCGCTGGATCATAAAACTGGGCGAATGACAGCCTATGCCTTCCTCCATATCCCCATTTTCAATCCCCAATTTCCTCCTCAGCTCTTTCCAGCTGTCAACCGTCTCGACCGACTGGGCTAACGAGAATATGTCCAGCTCGTTCGACGAAACGCCATCACCGCCCTTCCAATCTTCGTGGGCCCCTACTCCACCGTCATCCTCCACGTCCCCCTCGCAACCATCATCATGGTCATGCCCCCGCTCCGCTTCACCTTCACACGAATCGCGCTTGGGATCGGCTTCTTCCTCTGTTGGAAGCCATCGGCAGCCCGGCGGTGGTTTTGGAGGGGGTATTATTTCTTCAGCGTTCTCGCCGTCGCTTTCTTCACCCCTCTCCTTGGGCTTGCCAGGGGTTTGCTCCCAAGAGAAAGGTATCCTCTCGAATTTATCCCAAGAAACGCGAACCGAATTTGCATTTTGCACATCCTCCAGTCTGTTGACACCAATAGTTCGCCTCGTCGATAGAAGTGGGGCATTTAAGTTCAGCTTTCCTGCAGGCCACTTCCTCCTATTCAGGGCTGCTTTTTCTTCTTTTTCCATGTACGTATTGGCATATGTATTAAGCGAACTTACAGGCTAAAAAAATTTTAGATGAAGCAGACGTAAGACTGGAGCGAACGATTAAAGATGAGCTGTGTCTTAAAAGAGGTAGTTGCAGTGCAGGAGATATATATTACAGCTGGAACTATGGGTTTCTCGTGCAATCAGCTGAAAAGTTTCACTTAAAACGGTTCACAGGTGATGTGTTGGGGAAGGACGTACCATTCATGCGCCATATGTAAATTACCCGTGTGGCCAAGTTAACCTAGTACCACAACACTACATGCAATGCAAGTAAACTAGGATATAGCAGTGCAAATAGTCTTGGCCGAGTGAACCTACTACATGACATGCAATGCAAGTAAACAAGGACGACACACTGCCTTCAGTTTAACCTGACCAGTAGCCTGGAGTCAAAAATCAATATGACTGTAGAAGTCCATCTCCACAGGAAGCTCGCCGTTTCTTATTTTCCTTTTCCCCTTTCCTTTTCTTTTCTTTGAACTTTGAAGAGAGTTATAGATTGCTCAGAATATTGCATCTTTAGAATAAGCAAAATGCCATAGCTGCTGGCAGATTCCAAATATTCTGCTTGTCCAACCAAAAGAAGAGTTTAAAAAAAAAATGAATTTACAAGTTTTAAGACAAGAAGCAAATTAAACCATAGAGCAATTCAGGTTTCACTAAAAAGAATTCTGGAGAACAGAGGGGATGAAGAACTAGATGCAGCATACTACTGCTACATTCTTGCTGCACGGCCTCTGGCCCTCCACTACGAACAGCAATTCTATCAGGTATAATGGGTCATGAAACTGCAACTGTTTTTGAGCTTTTGGTTGAGATGTGTTAATTAAGAGCACGGGAACAAGAGCACTCTGCTATGAAGTGCATGAGTTTGATACATCATTGACAAGAAAACTGTATGCTTGTATTTACAATCTGAACCATTCTAGTTTCTCTGTCATTTCTCTGATCTAGAAATTCCTCTAGCTTCTCCTGCTAGATGTATGGGCATTGACCATCTAAGCTGGATTCTTAAAAAGACAAATCCAGAAGATTAATGAGGACAGTGGTGGCCCTCGTGCGACAAGAACAACAAGGTGGTGGCAATAAACTGATCCCCACTCAGGAGTCCATCAAGCAGAATCTGATAGTCTCTTGCTTCCTCATGTTTGCAGCTCATTAGCCCGCTCCCGTGTTTTCTGATACAGCTCCAGTGTATCAGCATGGTTGGGATCAAGACACAGTGCTGCTTCACAATCCCGGAGAGTGGAAGAATTGTCACCCATTGAGTCATGAAATGCTGCTCGGAGATGGAGCAGCTGTAGGTCTGGCTTAAAAGTTATGGCCTTGGTGAGCTCTGCAATTGCTTCTGCCTCCTTGTGGTCATCCATTAGAACTGGAAGGCATACGCATAAGCATTGGCAAAACGAGGCCATAACATATAAACATATAACTGCTTATGGTAGTTTGAATTAGAAAATTGCAGCCCTACTAAAGCTAGATTAACGCAAAATGTGTGATATTAGCCATAAAAGCTGAGAGGAACTCTACAATTGTGACAATACAACTCTGGGTGGTATATAGATTTTAGTAATTTTGACATTGGGAAAGAGTTAAAGGAGGGTATGTGTTACATATTACCAATTTAAGTGGTTCATGGAAGTAGTGATTATTTACATTTAAAAAAAAAAAAAAAAAATTGCTGCATACAGGCATTTGTTTTTGCCGCCTAGACACTTGTTCCAGGCCTAATTACGAAGAGAAAAGAAAATTGTAATCATACAAAAATAGAACAGCGCTTCGATGTCCAACTGCTCTTTTTTAAGTGAATCAGGAAGACAGGAATTATACTAAAAGTTTGAGTCACAGTTTACCTGCTGCTCTATATCTGTATGGATATGTTCTCAAGGGATCTAACTGCGTTGCCATGCTTAGATCACTTTTAGCCATTTCACCATCACAATATTCTGAGCGTTTTTCATATGCTGATGCATTATATCTTGCTTTTTCAATCAACTTGGTCATCTCATCATATGCAGCTTTCCGCAAATTTTTAAGATGGTATACCCGTGCTAATCCTTGATGAGCTCTTGTATGCTTAATATTTAAAGCATTCATGTAGCAATCAACAGCATTATCCAGCTTGTCAACATCTACGTAGATACTTGCCAGATTACTTAATGCCTGCAGAACCACAAGGTTACGCAGTGGAGTAATATATTGCAGCAAAAAAAAAAAAAAAAAGAGAAAATTAAAGATAATGCAGAGACTAAGACTTACTTGTCCCTTCCTCAGGCCATCTGAAGGGCATCTAAGAGCTTCCTCCAAAAGTTGTATAACATATAGTGAAGATTCGGCGTCTGGATTTGTTTCAGACAAAACATAAGCTTTTAAGAAATAGGCTTCAAATGATCTCTGCATAGAGATGGATTCCTCAGCTTTAGCTATTGCTTCCTCATGATAACCTGTGTCATATAAAATCCATCCTTCATAAATAAGCCTCTCATGCTCAGAGGTAGCAAGATTTCGCGCCATTCTCAGACTTCTCATTGCAGCCTTGTGGCAATTTAATCTGTAAGATTTGTGAAAATCAGGATTTGTTTCAAATACGCAGCAGAAAAGGGGGAAAATATGTTAAAATAAAGGAACAAACAAATGACTCATGTTATGATCTTCTACATTCTACAGCAAAAAAGTGTCAAGGAATGAAGCTGCTTCTCTAATAGCACCGTTGAATAGAATAGGAGGGCAGCCAGAGACCACCAAAGTTCATCTTGAGCCACTCAAGATAGACAAAAAAACAACGCTCTAATATAGATTGGTCATAGACTCATAGTTCAGAATGCAGCATGGTACTCTGAAAAACAAGTTCCTACGTACTTGGCATGCATGGTGATCAAATTAAGGAACACTGCCTTTCACAGCAAACAAGTAGAAGTTGCTTAATACAAAATTGGCAATCTTTTTCATGAAATGTAAATCTTTAACAAAGATCGATGATAGTCAGGGTGGAAAATATCGATACGTGTGTTTGGATTGTAAGTTATTTGAGATATTTTTACTGTAGCACTTTTTGTGATGTGATGTATGTGAGATAAAAAGGTAATTGGAAAGATAAAAAGATGTATTGGAAATTATAATGGTGATGTAAGCAATTATATTTAGGCAAATAACTTACAATCCAAACACACATGATAATGACAATAAACACTCACCGTAGAAGTAGGAGAGATTGTCGGAATCTCAAGAGGCTTTTTCCTGGGTCAATAGTCAACATATGATGTACCACAGCTAGTGATCCAATATCATCTACAGAAGACCATCTGTCATACAACTGCATCCAGCAATCAGCTTGACTCCACTCTTGAACATGATGACGCAGGAGCTCCACCAAATGGTCACCCTGCATCTTTCCATGAAACATCATGTAGTGGGGATTTAAAGTTAGAAGTGCTCGAACATCTCTTAGGGCTCCTTCATAATCCTCCATGGAAATTAAAAACCAAGCACGCAGCTCAAGGAAATCAGGAGAGACCTTGAAACCAATTATTTTGTTGATCTCTGAAATTGCTGCCTCAAGCTTATCCTCCTCCTCCACCATTGAGACAGACCTGTACTTGTATGGATATGAAAGAGTTGGATCCAATTCAGTCGCTGTACTTAAATCCATCAGTTTCTCTTTTCCATTACAATACAAAGATCTTTCTTGATACATCCACCCGGATGGTGTGTGATCAGAAATGAGGGAGTTCATCAACTTATATGCCCTATATTTGTGACCGCGCTTGTATTTAGCCCTTGCAAAACCAACGGTGGAGTAAACATGACCAGCATCTACAGCCGCCCTAAACCATTTCTGAGCATCCTTGTACTCTTTCCTTTCAAGCATTACGCATCCCAGCTGGTGGAAAGCAAGTTGTTTCTGCCAGCATTCGCTTGCACATTCTCCCAACCTTTCTAACAGCATCACCGTTGTGTTTGACTTTATGTCCTCTTCCATTGAAATCTGGCTCAAAAGATTGTAAAGCAAGAACGACGCATGTCCCACCATAGCCAGCCTTTCCTTGGCATCAGAACTGCAAAAAAATTTCATGACATTTGGATTGTGCATTGAGCTTGGGAGTTCCCTCAAGAACACCTGCAAGCAAGCTGCCACCAGGAGATGTGCCGTCTCCTCCAAGCCGTACTCGATAAGTAGCATGGCACTCTCCATATCAACGACCAGAGATGCCAAATATGCATCGCAAGCAGACTTCATCTCCTCACAGCAGAACATGTTAGCCAACCCTAGAAGTTGCAAGACAGTATCTTCATCAAAAGAATCCACGGTTTTTATCCTGCTAAACACCTCTGCAGCCCTCATTGCCTTTGCAGATATGCCGTTCTTTGAAAAATTTATTTTCTCTCTACGTGATTCCATGAAGCCACCATACAGCATCGCCCAGAATGGTCTCGAAAGCGATGAAATCTTATATCTACTACACCTGATCTCATCGTCCCCAATAAAAAACGACATGTCCAAGTCATCTTCATCAACCTCCTCATGATTCCATGACGTTGAGCATTCCTCGTCTGTCGCAGCAAAATCGTCATCCTCATCTTCCTTTGGACTCCTAGTACACCTGCAGGGATCATGGATTGATTCGGGATTGTAACCTGACACCAATGAAGTCCTAGGGCATTCCATGCTCCGCCCACAACAATCCATTGCCGATATCCCAATAAGCTCATCCTCTCTCCTCTCAAACCTCAACCAGGTGGAGAGTACCACCTTAGAATGCACGTCAACGGCATGCTCCCTGGCCAACCTCAGGCTCCTCCTAAACAATTTCGGGTCGGGCAACCCCTTATACATTGCACATTGCTCGAGATACATTCCTGATTTCTCGAATTCGGAACAGGCCTGAATTCTGGTATAAAGATCAGCTAAGGCTTCCACGAAGTCGACAAATTTAAGATTAGGCTCGATGTGGGGCTCAATGAGATCAGTTTGGGGG